TCCCGTTTGCTCGGGCCCCTTTGAGGAGGCCAGCTATTGTAGTCGGGGGCCCCCTGGGATAACGAGGCTTCCCTTGTTGCATCCTGGAACAAATCTTTTACAAGGGGTGGTCAGGGTGCGGTTGCGGGGCGCACGATCTCAACGCCAAATGCCCCCCTGTGGGGGCAGGACAGGAAGAAGGGAGGAGGTAGAGGAGGACTTTGGGTGCCAGGAATTTTTGATGAAAAGGGGGGTTTTTTCCACTGGGCGGAGTGGAGGAGCAGGAGATCTGGTAGAGGGGAGGAGGGACAGGGGCCCCGAGCACCGTGGCAGTATGCTGTGGAGTGGGGGCAGGGAGTCCCCCTTCCTTGGCACAAAGGGCCCCTAGCTGCCGGTTGCTTGCTGCCGCCCGAATTAATAACCATTCAAAGAGGATGATTTTTGGCTGGCCACCTTGTTGGACCCTCGCTACCGTTCAAAAATGGTGGCCTTTTTCAACACCTGCTGAGAGGGAGGCCAAAATTAAGGCCATACTATAAAAACCCACCTATTGTTAGTCAAGCTGGTCTCTGCCTGTTATGTCGCGCCAACGTTCCATCCTCAGACACTGTGGGCCCTCGTGCGCTCGCGTTCCGCTGCCACTGGCAGCAGGAGAGGTGGTGGGGGTGGTAGGAGCAGTCCGGCAGCTCCTCAGCCAGCAGCGGGCTTGCCTCAAGTCTGCAGTCGAGTGATGAGTAGCATTCTTCACCAGCGCAGGGAGGTAAAAATACTAACAGCCGCAGCAGCAGCAGCAGCATCCGGTGGGACCTGGAGTAGGACCTCAATAAAAACAGGCATTAGGCCTACTTGGGACAGCACCCTGCCAACCGAGAGGTTAGACCAATCCACCTTGACTAACTGGGCATCGAAACTTGACCTTTGGCCCCAACTAGCTGAATTTGCCCTTGAAAGGCTGTCATGCCCGGCCAGTAGCGTGGCATCGGAGCGCCGTGTTTAGTGCGGCAGGAGGTATTGTAACTCTGCGGAGGACACGGACTGTCACCAAAGTGTGGAGAGACTCACGTTTGTGAAAATGAATTAGGCGTGGATTAGTCTGGATTTCAAACCACCAGTTCCTGACACCAACTGACTAAATCCGCCATGAATCATGCCCCAAACATGTGCCTACTTTCAGGTCTCCTCACACTGCTGGTTGGGTTTCATTTTTTTTGTCATAGGGTGCTGGCCAGATTACGGGCCTCCATTTTCTGCTGCCTGGCCCGTAATCTGCCTCATGGGCCCCGTACCGCCTCCTTCATGCTGCTTGCCAGGTCCAGAGTTGTCTCATGGGCCTTACCCTGTAACGGCCTCCCATTGCTGCTGGTCTCCATAGCGACACACTCTGCCATGTGCCACTTTCAGGGTCTCCTAACCACACTGCTGGTGGGTTCCATTTTGTCATAGGTGCTGGCAGTTACGGGCCTCCCATTGCTGCTGCCAGGCCCGTAAATCTTGTTCATGGGCCCCTGTACCGCCTCCTCATGCTGCTGCCAGGTCCAGAGTGTGTCGTGGGTCCCTGTATGGCCTCCCATTGCTGCCTGTCTCCATCGCCCACACTCTGCCATGTGCCACTTTCAGGTCTCCTCACACTGCTGGTGGGTTTCCAATTTTCATAGGGTGCGCTGGCAGATTACGGGCCTCCCTTGCTGCTGCCAGGCCCGTAATCTGTCATGGGCCCCTGTACCGCCCCTCCTCATGCTGCGGCCAGGTTCAGAGTGTGTCATGGGTCCCTGTTACGGCCTCCCATTGCTGCTGTCTTCCATCGCCACACTCTGCCATGTGCCACTTTCAAGGTCTCCTCAACCTGCTGGTGGGTTCCATTTTGTTGTCATAGGGTGATGGGCAGATTATGGCGCCTCCCTATTGCTGCTGGCCAGGCCCGTAATCTGCCAATGGGCCCCCTGTACGCCAACTCATCTCTGCCTGCTGCCAGGTCAGAGTGTGTAAACGGGTCCCTGTTACGGCCTCCATGATTCTGCTGGTCTCCATCGCCACACTCTGACATGTGCCCACTTTCAGGTCTCCTCACACTGATGGTGGGTTCCATTTTGTCATGGGTGCTGGCAGATTACGGGCATCCCATTGATGCTGCCAGGCACGTAATCTGCCATGGGCCACTGTACCGCCTCCTCATGCTGCTGCCAGGTCCAGAGTGTCTCATGGGTCCTGTACGGGTGTCTCCCATTGCTGCTGTCTGCCATCGCCCCTATAATCTGCCATGTGCCCCCGTACCCCTCCTCATGCTGCTGCCAGGTCCGTAATCTGTCATGGGCCCCGTTGATACCGCCTCCTCATGCTGCTGCCAGGTCCAGTTGTGTGTCATGGGTCCCTGTACGGCCTCCTCCATTGCTGCTGTCTCCATCGCCACACTCTGCCATGTGCCACTTTTCAGGGGGGGGATCTCCTCACACTGTGGTGGGTTCCATTTTGTCATAGGGTGCTGCAGATTTGTTCGGGCCTCCCTTTGCTGCTCCAGGCCGTTCATCTGGCCATGGGCCCCCTGTACCGATCCTCATGCTGCTGCCTAGGCCCGTAATCTGTCATGGGGCCCCTGTACCCGCCTCCCTCATGCTGCTGAGCACGGTCCACACGAGTGTGTCATGGGTCCTGTACGGCCTCCCATTGCTGCTGTCTCCATCGCCGCACTCTGCCATGTGCCACTTTCAGGTCTCCTCACACTGCTGGTGGGTTCCATTTTGTCATAGGGTGCTGGCAGATTACGGGCCTCCTCATTGCTACTGCCAGGCCCGTAATCTGTCATGGGCCCCTGTACCGCCCTCCCTCATGCTGCTGCCAGGCCCGTAATCTGTCATGGGTCCCTGTACGGCCTCCCATTGCTGCTGTCTCCATCCCACACTCTGCCATGTGCCACTTTTCAGGTCTCCTCACACTGCTGGTGGGTTCCATTTTGTCATAGGGTGCTGTCAGATTACGGGCCTCCCATTGTGCTGCCAGGCCCGTAATCTGTCATGGGCCCCTGTACCGCCTCCTCATGCTGCTGTCAGGTCCAGAGTGTGTCATGGGTCCCTGTACGGGCCTCCCATTGCTGCTGTCTCCATCGCCACACTCTCTGCCATCTGCCACTTTCAGGTCTCCTCACACTGCTGGTGGGTTCCATTTTGTCATAGGGTTGCTGTCAGATTACGGGCCTCCCATTGCTGCTGCCAGGCCCGTAATCTGTCATGGGCCCCTGTACCGCCTCCTCATGCTGCTGCCAGGTCCAGAGTGTGTCATGGTCCCTGTACGGCCTCCCATTGCTGCTGCCAGGCCCCTAATCTGCCATGGGCCCCCGTACCACCTCCTCATGCTGCTGCCAGGCCCGTAATCTGTCATGGGCCCCTGTACCACCTCCTCATGCTGCTGCCAGGTCCAGAGTGTGTCATGGGTCCCTGTACGGCCTCCCATTGCTGCTGTCTCCATCGCCACACTCTGCCATGTGCCACTTTCAGGTCTCCTCACACTGCTGGTGGGTTCCATTTTGTCATAGGGTGCTGGCAGATTACGGGCCTCCCATTGCTGCTGCCAGGCCCGTAATCTGCCATGGGCCCCCGTACCGACTCCTCATGCTGCTGCCAGGCCCGTAATCTGTCATGGGCCCCTGTACCGCCTCCTCATGCTGCTGCCAGGTCCAGAGTGTGTCATGGGTCCCTGTACGGCCTCCCATTGCTGCTGTCTCCATCGCCACACTCTGCCATGTGCCACTTTCAGGTCTCCTCACACTGCTGGTGGGTTCCATTTTGTCATAGGGTGCTGTATGGCCTCCCATTGCTGCTGCCTCCACCGCCACACTGTGGCTCCACACTCTGGTTTTGGCCCCGTGACTGCCCAAATGAGTTAAGTGTGCGGTGATTCTAAGATCGACGGCACTCATCTGCATGTCATACTGACTGACAGTATTATTTCTCTTCCCCAGCAGACTCCAAGGGCATTTAAATTAAAGGTACAGTGTTCTGCACTAATATAAAGGCTCTCTGAAGCCTAGAAACACCCTTTTTATAAGTTAAATTCGCAGCGAATATATTCGACTCGAATCGAATTTATTCCTCGAATTCGCCGAATCAGCCGAATCAAATTTTTGAATACTTCGCTCATCTCTAGCTGTGACCATAGATTTTTTAATTTAAATGAACATCCAGTTTGCTAAGTGAATAGTTTTTATTTCTTTGTTAAATCAGCTCAAGTATTTTAAATATTAAACACATTTTATGTGGATATCTCCTCTACAGATACTGTATATTATCTACATATTCTGTTATTATTCACTGATCATTACGCAGTCTCATTCTAGGTTAGCATGCACACAATGACTATCATTTCCGATTTTTTGTAATTTTATTGGCAGCAAAAGTAAAAAACAAATTGATGCCATAGGAGCCAGGGGGTATCTGTGGGTGGGTTTTCAGATGTTAGAGGCTCCATAAACCCTAGAAAATGTTGATTTTCTGAGAGATGAGTAGCACTAGTAAATCTACCACAGCTCGCCATATACTATGTGGTTCCTGATGAACTGGCCCACATTACCTCCTCGGGTGGCCCTAAGTCATGCACCTGGTTGGAGGCCGAAGTAATGAAAGGGCTTCCCTTGCAGCTAATCACCCCTGGAGGTGAAAACAGGAAAAGCAGGGCTCAAAGAAGTGCAGGCGCTGTTTAGGCTATAAAACAACTACAGTATATTCATTTATATATATTACACAAAATTGTTAATAAGCAGTGTGATAGATTGGCTTGTCCAAATCCAGATGTTAACGCATTTCACAATGGAATTGCTTCATCAGGACCAATGGGTATGAAGATGAAAACTAAATGTGTTCTGCTTTCCAATCCAGTATTAGATATTGATGTGTTTTTTTTTAATCTTTGGGGACATTTTTTTTGTTCCCAATATTTTAACTGTACTATCTGTCTTTTAATGCAAACTACAATAAACTTCTAAAGAATTTTAATTATGTGTTTCGTGATGTGCCAATAAAGTCCGTTAGTTGTTGGTGGCAGAAGGTATTATATACCCTCTCGGCTCCATTTTTTAAAGTTGATGTTTGGATGTGGCATTTTGGAAGTCTTTATTGATATATAGCCCTTCAAAATTATATACCCCAAGGCACCCCATTCTAAGATGTGAAAAACCAAACTAATAGTTTTACATAACACAGCAACATCCACACACATAGGACATCCAATGTTAGAGGAGACTTCTTTCAAAGTAAATACACCTTTGCACACACTGACTAGTATTCCAATGTTCTGCTTCTCCCTCATCCTTTCTCCCTCACTCAGCTAGTGTGACCCCAGTGCTGATGGAGAGGGGTAAGAGTGGCAAACAAGGCTGCTGCATACGCACCCAATGTCCTCCTTATCAACTGATGACATCATTGGTTGTTAGGATGCTGGCAGGTGGAAGGTTGCAATGGTGCATAATGAAAATCTGTGGCTTTGTGTAACTAAAAGGCAGGCGTGATCCACTCGCTGGCTTGTATACAATTTTTGGGCAATTTTTAGCCAATTTTGCCAAGGCATCCCTATAGAAACCTGAAGGTACTCTGGTTGAAAAAGGTTGGTTTAGCAACTAGATTAGTACACTTCAAATCATTATTTCAGTTTTGAGTGGACGACAGCAGGATCAATCGATCAATCCCTAGCTTACATATCTTGAGTACATCTCTCTCATAAATTCTTATATTTGCACACCTGAAAGTGATATGAAGTAGTCATACTTTCCATGATAGATTTTTCATCTAACATGATGTAACATAAGGTTGAGTAGAAATTTTATTATTACACTTGTGTGGACCTCCTAAAGAAAAACTCCACTCTGAAAAAACATATCAAATATGCGGTTCAACAAAGGACATTTCTTTTTTTTTAGGTTAACTATGCAACTATGTAAAATGTCTACACAAGTGATATTATAATTTATCATTAATAATAATATACAATAATTAACAACAAAATGAAATGGTATAAAAAAATGATGCAACAATATTTGTTTTCATTAACATAATAAAAAAGATATTTCATTGTGAGATATATATACTGTATGTGTAAAATACCAAAATGTTGCAATGTAATGGCAAGTGTATCATGCACCTGTACACTAAAGATAAAGTAGAACTAAAGGTAAAACTTTTTTTCATTGTTCATTTTTTGCTACCTGTGTCCCATTAGACACAGTTGGCAAGGACTAATGCAGGCCATAGATGGGGAGAAAAACGGCAGATTTTTCTTTTAAAAAACGAAAATTCGGTCGTTCAAGCGGCCGACGTTGCCATCAATGGTAAAAAAAATCGGCCGATTTTCATCCCTTCTACAGCCAGCAAAAAGTGTCCCTGAAGAGAGCTCTGCTATTTCTGACAGTTCCTTGACATTTACAGCGGTTGAAACATTGTATCTATTTATTTCCATTTAGGATACAGATGTTTTTATTCGGAAACAAATAGATACAATGTTTCAACCGCTGTAAATGTCAAGGAACTGTCAGAAATAGCGGAGCTCTCTGCAGAGACACTTTTTGCTGGACTGGAATTATTCTTATTTTCATCCTACTTCTTCTTCTTCTTCTTCATCCTCATCCTCTTCTTCTTCTTCTTCATCCTCATCCTCTTCTTCTTCTTCTTCTTCTTCATCCTCTTCTTCTTCATCCTCATCCTCTTCTTCTTCATCATCTCATCCTCTTCTTCATCCTCATCCTCTTCTTCATCCTCATCCTCTTCTTCATCCTCATCTTCTTCTTCATCCTCATCTTCTTCATCCTCATCCTCTTCTTCTTCTTCTTCTTCTTTTTTCATCCTCATCCTCTTCTTCATCCTCATCCTCTTCTTCTTCATCATCATCCTCTTCTTCTTCTTCTTTTTTTCATCCTCATCCTCTTCTTCATCCTCATCCTCTTCTTCTTCATCATCATCATCATCCTCTTCTTCTTCATCATCCATCCTCTTCTTCTTCATCCTCATCTCTTCTCCTCTTCTTCTTCTTCTTCTTCTTCATCCTCATCCTCATCCTCATCCTCTTCTTCATCCTCATCCTCTTCTTCATCATCATCATCCTCTTCTTCTTCTTCTTCATCCGCTTCTTCTTCTTCATCCTCATCCTCTTCTTCTTCTTCATCCTCATCCTCTTCTTCTTCTTCATCCTCATCCTCTTCTTCTTCATCCTCTTCTTCTTCCTCTTCTTCTCCTCTTCTTCCTCTTCTTCTTTTTCTTCTTTTTGTCTTCCTCTTGCAGGTCACTGCTCTTTATCGGTAAAAAAAAAATCGGCCGATTCGCCCACTAATTGCCGCGAAAATCGGCCGATCGGCAAAATCGGCCGATTTTTTTTCAACTTTACCGAAAAAAAAAACCGGCCAAAATACCGAAAATCGGCCGACCAAATCGCCCACTAAGATCCGAAAATCGGCCGATTTTATTTTCGGCCGAAAAATCGGCCGATTTTCGACCCATCTATGGCCTGCATTAAGGTCACTGCACATGCGCATAAAATTTTCGGAAAACGATCATTCGTTTTTGACCATCAATGAGGATAAAGTCGGGCGTTTTCCGCAAAATTTTCCAACATCACCGATAATCTGAAAGTCCAAAATACACGAAAAACGGCCGACAAAATCATCCACTAACGATAAGATAATCGGCCGTTTTTATTTTCGGACGAAAAATCGGCCGTTTTTCTCCCCATCTATGGCCTGCATTACTATCCCTTCAGGAAGGAGGAAATTCCCTCACAGTGATGGAATGCATGGTTGTAATCAGGAACACCAGAACTAGTGTCCCTATTAGATGATTTCCTCTCTATTCCTGTTCCGGTGACAACCCACAATTTGGGATTTTCTTTCACTTTCTGTGATAACAGTAAACAGGAAAATTCGAGAGAATGGATCTCTCTAATGGGGGCAAAGATGGCAATAAAAACTCGATAGGGGTTGTAATCCCTCTCCACTCTATCCCAAACAAAAACAACAAGTTTTGCCTTTATTTATACTTAAAGGATACATTCAACTTTCAGAACATTACATTTTACACTTATATTCAGGATGTAACATGTCAAATCTGTCATATTTTTTAAAAACGTGGCCTTGTGGGGCTCTGCCTGCCTGGCCACGTCACTCACTGGGTTCTGTGAGTGAGAAACTACAAGTCCCTACAACCTTAGCGGCTGTCAGCTTGTAGTTCTCAATGAACTACCACAGCACTGTGGAGTGCCATGGTAGTTCATTGAGGCTTCCTGTCAGCATATCTGCTTGCCCATACATCCCGTACAAGCAAGCAGATATACTGACAGATCTGCAGGAGACCTGCATGGCACCAGGTATAAAGGTGAACTTATCCTTTAAACAAATAAATGAATCATTGATTGTGACTCCTTTACATTGATTAAAATCTGTCTTCTTTTCATGTAACACATTCATAGGCCTTCGCTGTAAGTATGTAGAACGGTCATGACAGAGTTCACTGGTGTAGATGCAATATTAATTTGCAAAAGTCTTGGTATAAGAATATGGCTATCAGACCTTGTGTTGGAAGTCTAAATGCAGAGGCTCTGGTGAGTTTGTTTCTACAAAGGAGCTTCAAAGGCCTATCAAAACAATTCCAGCATGCACACAACTCTGGAACACCTAACAGGAGATTTTCCCATGGTTGTAGGTCCAGAAAATGCCAGAAAATATGTCCTGTTTTGTATGCATTTAGGCAGAATCAGGGGCGGACTGACAACTCATGGGGCCCCCGGGCAATAGGGGATCATGGGGCCCATGTGTCATTGCCCAAACTCAAAAAAGCCTATGAATAAGGTACCAGGGGCATCTCATGGGGCCCCCTACTGACCCCGTGCCCGAGTTTCCAAATGGTCAGTCCGCCCCTCAGCAGAATCTTTCATTTAAACTTGATCCAAATTGTTCTGATTAAAGTTGTGTGGTAGCATGTTTGTTGCTTCATTGCTGACACTCGGTACACAGTGAGGACAATTTTTAGAACATAT